TTCCTTGCGTGGTGCAATTAATGTTATTTTTCAAATGGAGTCTTAATGCTTATAACATTAGACTTACAGTAAAATAAGGATCTTATTTTATTCCCTCTAATTCTAATTCCTAAAACGCCTTTGAAAAAAGAAAATGAGAACTGTGGTCCAAGTTGATCTAGTTCAACCTTCTAACAAACTACCAATGTTATTTGCCTTAAATCATGCTTTTAACTCAGTTGGGGCTAGTCTGTCACACGAATTGGACTCTAAAGGTCAAAGTTAGCAGGTGCTCTCCTCAGCACATCAGCCCCTCCTCCTCGTGGTTCATTCATATGTATTTCACTTTCTGAGCATATCGACTCATCTTCCTGAGTAGGCACTGCATTTCTTACGAGCTCTATTTCTCAATTCGTGACAGCAATAAAAATTCTGTCATCAACATTGAACAAACCTAACTGTATGAAAGCGTCCACTGTCTAATGCATAAAATTCATTCCTTTTAAAGAACTGTATTTTAACTTTGTAATCCCTTGTCGCTGACCACACTGAATTGGCTGGCACAGCCATCAATCAAGCACTCATTTAGTTCACAAGTGAATATTGTGTGTCTCATGCAGGGAAAGCACTTTGCCTGTGTAAACACAGGACTGGGTTCAAATTTTAGCCCTACTATTAAACAGTCTTGAGACTCTAGGTCAGTAACCTAACTTCTTTCAGCCAATGATTCTGCACTGTAAAATGGGAACAGGAATATCTTTCTTATAAAAATGCTATGAATATTAAATAACTTTTAAAACACACAGACATATATTTGTGTTCAATAAATACTATTTGCAGCTTTTTAAATCCACAATAATAACATATACTTCTCTCTACTAGGAGAAACTTATAAGCTAAAATGGAAAAAGAGGCAAAATTATAGAAACATTTGAGATAACAATAGTGATAAATTATAAGAGAATAAAAATTGCTACTCTAGGTCAAATGTAGTATATATTTTTTAAAGAAAACAGAAGTGGAACAACATATTTAAGAATACGTAAGCAAACAGAAGTGAGGAACTTGGAGTAGAAGGTAGAAAGGATATTCCAAACAAATGGGAAAGCTGAAACAAAATTATAATGCTGTGTGAAAGAGAAGGCAGAAAGGGAGGAAGAGGAGGCCATGCCACGGATAACGATTACAATGGCAGCCATGGCAAAACTAATGTTACAATCTTATTATGTTTCATGTATTTTTCTAAACTTTGTATATGTATTAGCGCCTTAAATCCTCTTAACAATCATACAAGGAAAATGATATGTGAAGATGATACTTAAACTGACATGTGAAGATGATTTTTAACTGAGAAGGTACTTAACCTGATACTCAGGGTAACAGAGCTAGAAATAACAAGGTAAGCTTCAAACCCAGGCAATCTGTCACTAGAACCTGTAATCTATTCATTGCCCAGACTACTTCTATAACAAAAGTAGACAGACAAAGCCCAGGAAGAAGAAGAAATAAATCATTCCCAAATTAATTTGATGATTAAATCAATCAATAATTATACATTTATATGTAATAATTTGGAATATCTTATTTGATGATAAAGGAAAATCCTTTTGGCATAACTTACTGAGTAATTACTCATCCATGTTGTTAACTCATTCAGTACATATAAATTAAGAGTGAATATTCATTGAGGACGCCTGTAAACATTTACTAGAATGTAGCTGACATGTACATCCATGTAATAGAATAGATTTCTGATGTGAAGTTTCTCTAAATTTCTAGTACACTCTACAGGAAGAAACTTCAAAATGAAAGGGAAATAGGAAGATAAGAGAGGAAAAAAATTGAGAGGGTAAAACTGAAATGTAGAGCTCTGTATCACTGACCCAGTGGATGATAAGGTGATATGGTAAAAAATGTTGGAGGACCCAAAGGGCTCTATTCCTGGCTCTTTTGTACACTTCGATAAGTCTCTTGATCTTCTAGAATACGAGTTCTAAAATTCCATAGTTCTTATTTGATGACCATTCACAATTTTCTTAACTCCAAAGCTGTGAAATCATAACTCCATCATAACTAATGTCTTCTGATAGTGCTTCCTTTCTAGATGTGACAGATAAATATCTCCTTCCTATATCTTTTGTGAACACTTTACATATTTCAGTGGAAGACTGACTTCCCCGGTAATTGAAAAAGCACCTGAAACACACACTGCATTCACTGAGTTATTGATATTGTTATTGGAAGACAGAAACCACAACCAAAGGATGACACCCTTAATCTTTTTACCCAAAGACCCCCCCAGTCCAAATTTCATTCCCAGTGCTCCATCTAATGGGATTTATAAATGGGAATACAAAATTGTTTTAATTTAGCATGTACCTACAGTAAAAGAATGGCTTCATATCCCATCATCCAAAATGACAGTAATCATTGCATGAAAACAACTTCCTATGCAATAATGTCAGGTAGCTTTTAAAATAATACTCAGTCCACGGGGCTGGGGATTTAGCTCAGTGGCATAAGCGCCTGCCTTGCAAGCAGGCAGTCGTGAGTTCGATCCCCGGTACCGATAAAAAAAAAGGAAAAAAACAAACAAAAAAAAATAATAATACTCAGTCCTACCCAAGCATGGTGACCTGTGCGTATGATCCCAGCACTAAGGGAGGCTGAGGTGGAAAAATTGCAAGTTTACATTCCTCCCAGGCAACTTAACCAGATCCTGTCTCAAAATAAAAAATAAAAAGGGTTAGAGATGTTTCAATTTCCACTACTAAAAATAAATTAATTAATTTAATTACATAAAAATAAAATAGTGCTCAGTCCTAACTAAATTATAATTTAAATGATTTTTTCTTGAGTCCCAATTGAGACTGAAAATTTAAACATAATGTATGATTAGTGGTTTCATTTAAAATCCAAGAAAGTAGTTTTTTTTTTTAAATCAGGGATCAAACTCACAACCTTGTGCTTGCCAGGCAGGCACTTATGCCATTGAGCTAAATCCCAGCCAAATAAGTAGTTTAATCATGTATCTGTCTGACCATTATAACTTATCTTCATTAAGGGAGTACATTAGAATAGGTTTGATTACTGAATTTGTCAATTATACAGTCAGTACCAATCAGCCAAAGTGAAATGTTTACAGAATCACAGTATAAAAATAGAGCTCATTTTTCAAATAATGTCACAATTTTAACATAATTTTTCATATATGGAAATAAATCCTAAAAATATTGAAATGATTTAGAATGTACCAATACTTAGATCTGTAAAGCATAAAATTAGGGTTAAAAAGAATGGTTATTAGTATAATTATAAGTGCAATGAGTTATTAAGTACAATGAGTTATACTCTAATACACTATTCCCAACACTCAGCCATAAACCCTGGCACAGCTATAGAATCAACTATGTGCTTTTTGAAGAAACACTTGGATCTGGTAAAGAATGAAACTTTATCACTCTGAATTAAATATTATTAGGTTAGGAAAGAAGCCATGTTTGTTTTGAACTGATTTTTATTCAAAAGATTGGGAACCATTTCATGAATATAATCAAAATACATTATACATATTGAATATCCACAAAATATGAAGCTAGACATACGGATAGGGCAATCAGAGTAATAGAGGGATAATTAGAGTATGTTACGTGCATAAATCTGCCAAAATGAAACCCACTCATTTGTATAACCAGTACATGCTAACACCAAATGTGGGAAAATAAAACAACAGAGCATTTGGGGAACTTTCATAGGAAACCACAGAGTGAGAACAGCTGGTGGTTAAAGACAAAGCTAGTGTTTTTAAAATTCCCTAGAGTTACAGTTATAACAACAGCAGTGTATTGGTCTGTGCCATTTAAATAAACTCCTTAAGGAGTATTCAGAGGGAAGCATTCTTTTCTCAAGTAAATCTAATAAATGTCATTTCTTTTTGCTCCACTAGAGGGTAGTCTCTCAAAACCAGGGCTGGAGTCATGAATCCAGCTAGTTTTTGATCTGCTGGTACATTAATTCGTATGTTCCAGTCTTCTCAACAAGATATTTCTTTAGTATCCTAATTAAGATTATAAAACATTCATTTTTAATAGCAAATTTTTACAGGTATTCTTATAGACACAACTATGAGGTTTTTATTTTACATTTTCTATTCCAAAATTTTGGTAAATTCAAAACTTGTTTTACATATATGGTTTATGTAGGATATTTTCCTGGTAAATATTAATATAGGGTTAATAGACCTAATAATAAAGAAAATTAATTTTTATTATTTAATTTATCATAGTTAAAGCAGTCCCACACAGGAGTCAATCAGACGCGCAGACACTCCCCCGCCCGGTCCCTGTGCACACTGATACGCACACAGTGCTCACCCACTAACCCACTCACATGTGGTTGGCAAATTTATTGCATTACATAAGAAGAGAGCGAATATTGCTAATGTGTACATTTTAAAATCACCCTTCGTAAATTCAAATGTTTGGGTTTTAGAGAAGCAAATACATGTTTGATTTTTATAATCAGGTCAGTCCAGATAAGAAATGCCACTTCCAAAAATAAGGAAGGAGGAAAAGAAAAGGGGAGAGAGTTGTATTGAACAGCAAGCACTCATGCTAAATTAAGTAGCAACTACAGAGAACCAAATGCCATTCCACACCAGTTTCGGGATGCTCTTCTTAAAATAATACAGCTATTGCTGAACTTCAGAGAGAGGCAGTCGGAGGCTTGAGTTTTACACCAGGTGTTTTTAATATTTTGGAAATCCTTATTAGTAGTGAGCCCTGCCTACAGTATTTTCAAAGTGAAAACATAAGTTTCTCTAAATGGCTGATTATCCCCAAAGGAGAGCACTTATCAAAAATTCCTAACATTTCCCTGAAGGAGAAAAAGAAAGAAAATGATTCCTAGGAAAATATGCAAGCCTGCTTCATTATTTGTACCCTAAGCAGCAGTGTCACAGAACAGACAGGTTGCTTCAGCCAACCAGACTGGAGCGGCTGCGAACGCTCCAGCCCGGCAGTCTGAAGCGATTGGTCCTCTCTGGGGAGCGGAGGGTGTTCAGTTATTAATGACCGCTGAGCAGGCAGCACCATGTCAGTGTGACAACTGATCGGGTGAACGATGCACCACTAACCACCATGGAAACAAGGAGAAATAAAGCCAGCCCCCAGCATCTCCCTTCGCGGGACTGAGAGCCTCGGCTGCCTGCCGGCGAAGAGAGAGTTTCGGGCTAAAGAAGAAATCCTAGCTGCAGCCTCCTGCCCGCCTTTACATCTTAGAACACGGAGATAAGATTGCCTGCATGTGTGCAGATCTGTAGTACAAATTTGTGCCTACTTTACTGCACACACACACGTGCATGATTCACACCCGGGGAAGAAGCCAACCATGTGATTATCCCAAGAAAGGGTCGGAGGAATTCAGCACGCAGGGACAAGGAGGTGGTCCAGCTCGGAAACTGCTTTGGCAAGGTAAGTTTACAAGGCTTACGTCTGTTTAAATGCACTTTCTCCTTTCGTGGAGGCTCCTGTTTTTACACTTCACTTCTCCTGTAAGGTACTCTCCTTGTCTGAATTCGAAGAGCATTTTTCTTTACATTTTACTTTTGAGAACAAATTCACATGCAAAATCCTCTGGCTCTGTGTGCAGAGCTGTGCTTGTGGGATTTTCCAACATGCATTTGACTAGCTTGAATGCCCATCAGAGGATGTGAGCAGGAGAGAAAAACCAGTGCTGGGGGGAGGAGAGCAGGAGAGCGGAGGGCAAAGGAAGGGGACAGTGGGTGAGGAGAGAGAGAGACAGAGAGAGAGAGAGAGAGAGAGAGAGAGAGAGAGAGAGAGAGAGAGAGAGATGGGGGTAGGGAAGGGAGGACAGAAGAGAGACAGTTTGGGGGGAGTTTTCCCTTTTCTTTATAATATTTGTAACTAAAAGAAGATCACACATTATTGTGTGTTTTAAAACACCACCTTCAGTGGGGCATTTTTGCTGCCTTTCACCCAGTGCATGGAGATTCAAGCAAACGCTGTTGCGTATCAAGAGCAGTAAGCCGAGTAGCGGAATGAGCATACTGTATCACGAACAGTTCCTGAATTTCTGCCAGGCTACATCTTAGAGATTGTGTAAATGACTTCTCTTTAATAACGTTCTCATACTGCTCTGAAGGGACAGTGCAAATGTCTGATTGCTAATGTAGCTGAAACTGCCACATACTAGGTAACCAGAAGAGTTCTAATCTTCTTTGGTAATTAACAGGATCACAGCAGGATGGCTTTAAAGTGCGTTTCCTATTTAAGAAGATTGTTTGTTCAAACCTACTGCAATATTCCCTTTGCTGTTATTGAGCTGGGTTGCTTAATTTGGCTCTAATTTATTCATTTTTAACAATATGTCCTTGTTTCGATGTCTGTAATTTTAGGGAGAGCAGGCTATGAATATGAGTACTTTAGTAAAAAGGGGACAATGTGAAAAACAAACAGGGAAGAAGAGTCAAAGGATCTACCAGGAAAAGTGTGCCCTCGTACTATAAATGTTACTCGTACCCTGTATTTCTTATCTTTAGTTTCGGAAGCAATGCTTGAGAGACAGGATTACTCTCAGTAAACTCTATGAGCATCCATGTAGTGATGAATCATGGAACAGAATGTGGGCTAATTTTTAATTCCAATCTTGTAGAAGAAAGCCAGCTACTTCAAATATTTTCCAAACAGACAACGCCAATTGACGATGTGCATGGAAACCTTCACTATCCTTGTGCACGGGTCCCGGGAAAGCACTAAGACAAACCCATGTATACACTTCATGGGTTAGAGTTCTCTCTTCCCTTCCTTTACTTCAACCAACCAGTTAATGGAGTCTGCTTCTTTGAAGCAGTATTATTCTCCCCCACACTGTAATTTCAGAGTTATTACTGGTTTCTGAGTTTATATGCATGCCAAAACCAAAAGACAATAATCAACCACTTAGATCCTGCCACTGTCCCATAAATGTGTCAAAAAATGAGTCGGTTTATAATATGTAATGTAAGAAGTCAATTAATTCCAGCGACCTTTGTAAATGATGACAATAAAGCAGCTCTGACAATCTGCCAGTGGCTTCGATTTTCCCTCTGTAAAATGAACAAGTTTCAGAAGAGGGTTCCTGCTCAGAGTGAAAAATGAAAGGTGCTGAAGCATTAGCTTGCAGTATTGGCAGCCTTGCTCGCTCTGCCTCAAACACCACATGCAATCTATCGAAAACACAAAATGATTTATTATGAGGAGGAAAAGGTGTTTTATTTGCTTTTCTGCTATTCATTAGAAGTGCTGCTTTTGAAACAGACCGGATCTGTTATATCGAGGTAGCTCCACAGTTCCTAACCAAGAGGAAAGGTATGAAGTATATGTTCAATCTACCAATTTCAAACTCCTATATAATGTAGCATTGCAGTATCGATTTTGGCTTTTCTTAGACCTTTTCCAGGAAAACTTTTGATACCAAACACACACATTCTTAAATCTTACCCAGCCTATTTTAAATTGCAATCAATGACCACTAACAACAGTGGGTTTGCTTCTTAACCTTAGTAAAGCTCACATACATATTTTGTGGATTTCAGAGGTCAGCAATGTGCCCAGTAGAGTCTCAGAAATAGTCAGTCCAGACCCCCGATATTGCAACTTGGTGTATGCCAGTGAGTTTGGTGATTTGATAGCCCATGCCAGATGATGGACATATGGGCCTGTCTGAAAGATTTAACCATTCACAGTCACACCCAGGCATGCAGAGACACTCAGAATAATAGATTTCTAGCAAGATCAGCTTCTAAAGAGGATCATTTAAGGGTGTTGCTTGACACAGGCAACATGATAAATTAGAATGTTGAAGAATAGGTGGAAATTTTTCTTTGGTTGTGATGGTATTTGTTGTTAATGGTCTAATAAACAGGGTTTCCAGCTTTATAGGCCAGCAGTTTGGAGACCTGTGAAAGGGTGATCAACTTATGATTCACTATCTGTATTTCACTGGCTTATTTTGGATGTTGTTATATATATATGTATATTGCTCTAGCCCAAGATGGGTTTGATGTTGTACATTTTCCCCCTACTTTGCTATTTTTCTCTTATAACATTCCCATGAAACATGGCATTATGAAATTCACTGTAAAGTAATAAAGGTAATAAGAAGGGTCTCCTTGAATTTTTTTAAAGTACTTTTGTAATTTAAATGTTATTACTTATCAGCCCCCGAAGACGCCCATGGGTGAGGTTGCTGAATCTAAAGGAGATCATTAAAAGGAAACTAAGAGCATGCTGGAAAATGAGTCGCTACTTCTGAGCTGGATTAAGAATGTCCCCAAAGAATAATTGAAAAGCATTGGCTCAAGGCAATGTGGAGAAACACTGGACCTGTGAAGCCCTGCAACTCCTGAGTGTTTAGCTGCTTATGTATTGCTCTTAAGTAGATGAAACTAAGCAGGCAAAAATGAGGCAATACATCAGTATATTTTATCAATGCTGTCAAAAATAAAGCTCTTTGATGTTGGCTGCTTACCAAGTACTTAGGAAAGCTTCAAGTATAACAAGTGAACACAGGTCCTGCACCTAGCTCACAGAGTTTCTCCCTCACCTCCCTGTGAGAAAGTGATGTCAAGGAAGTGCTAGTAGAACCTGACAGCAATGATTCCTTTGGCAACAATGTCAAGGAAATCTAATTCTAATGTAAAGAAAGTAGCTGGTGTCAGAGGACAGGAAAAAGTAATAGAAATCAGAAGGCTTTCCTTGACTTGATGGAAGAGTAGAAAATATCAAAAGATGTGATTTAGATGTGAACGAACACAAAATGAGGAAAGATGTCAAGGCCTAGCTCAAATCTTTGTCAAGTGCAGCACTTACTAAGCCAGCTACTACATTTGCATAGTTGTCAAGTTTATGCATTCTTCATGCTGTTATGTTCATTCATCTTTAGATCATGGGAGGGGGTTAATTTTAAAAAGCACCAATAATGAAAAATATTAGAGAATAACAGAACTTTTGAATTGAAAGTATCATTTAGTACTTAGTTCAGTACATTTGTCTGATAGATGAAGAAACTGAGGTCTGAGGGTTTTAGTATATCTAGAATGAAATATAATATGCTTTATATGTTAAACTCACACAGCTGTTTTTTGGAGAAGCTTAGGAGTACTTCCTCCACCATTCCACTAAAATTCAGCCTCCCCCATGCTTCGGAAATAATAAACAGAATCAGAATAATGTGCTGAAAATTAAAGGAATGTTTATCTAGATAATCAAGTGCTCTAACAGCAAAAGGTAACATTCCATAATAAAAAGAACAATGGTTTGTCAAGTATATAATGCAAAAATATCTCAAAAATATTCATCTTTTGCATATAGTATACTATATTATGTGGTAAATCATAATAGTTAGAGGTATATGCACTATTTTTAAAACATCTTCATATTAGTTTTACCCTTCACCAATGGGGATTATCCAACTATGGATCATCCACTACAAACTAACTTTTCCTAAGAATTCTTAACAGATGATATGCATCCTTTTTAGACTTAGTTTCACTATAAATATTTTAAGGCACTTAACATATGTCTCTTTTATATTTAAAGTTTCTTCTCAAAAACCCGTACTTTGCTCATACACCTCACTGGAAAGCAAGGGGTATATTCTTCTGATAGCAATCCCCCTCCCTTTTACCACCTGCCTTCCTGTGCTTTATTTTTCATTTCCAGAATTAGAGTGAGAGCTTTGTAGGTAATGAAATCTTAATTTCATTTTGGCAAACTACTCTCTGTTTCTAAATGTACTCTCCAAATTTTGCTGTATATAATACTAATTAATGAATTCAAAAATACTAAAAGAAATTAACAGTAATTGTGAATATTTGTTTAGAGTTCTACTGTTGGTTCACAATGCACTTTTTCTACACCATTTGTTCCTACAACAATCTGGTAAGACAGGGTAGGTGCAACGCTGATCATTCTTTCTTTTAAGATTGGAGGGTGAGGTTCTTGTAAGGTTAGAGTTCACTAACATGTGAAGGAGCCAAGGACTCTAGAAAATAGGCAGTAATGTGGGAATAGCACTGATCACTACACTTAACATTTCAAAAGTCATTCATAAATATTCATTTTCTTCTTCCTGAACTCACATTCTGGGCCTTACTCTATGAAGGCCTACGTTTTTGTACCATACCACACTATATCTGGATGGATATTTGCAAACTCAATCCTACATTTCTTAATTTAAATTGCAGCTAATGTTATGCTTGAGTAAAGCAAGAGAAGTATAACCAACATCAATTGTTAAGAAAAAAAGATTATGTGTGGTTCTACCTACTCATCCATATGTTTGTTTGACAGCATTAGCACTGTGATAAACAGATATTTGGCAAAGGTCTCAAAAGTTGAGTATAAGAGAATGAATAAATTACTCAGGGATGTTTCAAATTGCAAAAAAAAAAAAAAAAAAAAAGTCCTCA